CCTCTAGCTCTACTTTCTCTCCCTTCCCCTTTCTGTCTCTCTTTTCCCACTTACTCCTCTCTTTATCTCTCTCTCTTATTCCTCTCTTTTCATCTCTCTTCTTCCTACTCCTTAATCAGAGCAAGACTGATGTTACTCCTGCTACTCACCAGAAGGATCCTGAGATATGTATCTGGCTGCCAACTTTTCCCATTTGTCGAGACTCACCAAGACTGTATATCATGTTAATTCTCGCTTCTTGGGAGACCATCATCATTTTTTCCCAAAGCCCTTGACGGATTGGGTTGACCTCCTTTCTTCATTTTCGCTCTCTTTACTTCCTTATTATTTTGTTCTTTGCTTGTGTCTTTGTTCTAATTTTTTAGTTATCTTTCTTTTTTAATTCTCTCTCTCTCTCTCTCTCTCTCTCTCTCTCCTCTCTCTCTCTCTCTCTCTCTCTCTCTCTCTCTCTCTCTCTCTCTCTCTCTCTCTCTCTCTCTCTCTCTCTCTCTCTCTCTTTCTCTATCTTCTATCTATCTCTCTCTCTCATTTTTTCTTTCCCTTCCCCCCTCCATGCCTTCCTCGTCCGGTTCACAATGTTTCATTTTTTCATTCTCTCTTCTTCCCTCACTCTCTCCTTTCTCTGGTCTTTTTGGAAATGAATAAGCGGATTAATTTCCGAATTAACTTCGATGAGACCAAGAAATAAATACATAAATCGTTAGATAGAGAGTAAAATGATATAACTGATGAATAAATAGAATAAATAGATAGAGAGTAAAAGGATATAACTGATGAATAAATAGAATAAATAGATAGAGAGTAAAAGGATATAACTGAAGAATAAATAAAGAAAATCATGGAAACGAAAGAAACTGATGGATTTACAAGCCAAAAAGTGAACGTTTGATCAAGCACATCTTATAATAATAAATAAACTGCATGGCTCGTGTTTGATGATCAATCTGAACAAGTGCTCTGAGGGAATTAGACGGCCTCCGTGACCTCACTTGATCTCCCTTTCCTGCGAGGTCTTTCATTTTAATGTTATCATTATCATTACAATCCATAACATCGTTATCATTATCATACCGAAAATACTATTATACATACATACATATATATGTATAAATATATATATATATATAATATATATATATATATATATATATATATATATATATATATATATATATATATATATATATATATATTTATACACATATACATATATATTATATATATATATAATATATATATATTTATATATATATATATATATATATATATATATATATATATATATATA